TTTTTCAGGCATTGAAATTATTTATGTCAAGTATCTGATTTTTCTGTTCTAGAAAATATTTTAAATATAAACCAGGATATATAGGTAATCCAAGGACTGATCTCATATTATAGTAATGTTTGTAAATATGTTATCATTCATATCTCGTGTGTTATGAATTAATTATTGGAGAGGGAGCTTGGCATGTATAGTTAATTGAATATTATGGGTATCTTTACCCACCCTTAGGAAACCCAAAAGTTTCCATTCAATAACAATTATTAAGGAAACACATTTTAAAATGCAGTTATTTATTTATAATTATTCAACTTTTTAGAAAAGGGCCTTTTATCCTCTTGCAACGTATAAGATTTCATTGGAAGAAGGGGACTTTATAAAAGCAAAGATCTTTTTAAATATTAATAATAATATTTATTAGTGTACATGTCATGTATTATGTTCTTTTATTCTTAGTTTATTTTTAAATAATACTGAATACTTTTTGTTTTAGGCTGCCGCCAAGCTGGAAAACTTAGGAAATGCACTAGATGCCATGGAACCACAGAATGCTCAACTTTTTTATAATATCACAATAGCCTTCAGCAGAACTGTAAGAGTGCCAACAGAGCTCTGTTATTTGTAGCTGGAAATATAAAATTAGTCACAAATGTTGAGGCACCAAAAAGCACATGACCTAGAGTGAAAATGTGATGTGTCTATAAATATGTGATACATTCTTAAGGTAGTTCAGAAGAGATACAGTTTCCAGCTATCAGAAGCCATCATGGAGGTATCATGGAGGAAGTGGTACCCGTGAATCCTTTAAGGATAGGGAAGTGCCTTCCAGACAAAGGAAATGGAATCAGAGCGTAGGATTTACGGCTAGGGTTGTTCTTTGTTTTATGTTTTTAAAACTATTTTTTGAACGTTGTAAAGTGGGTAATAGGCTATTTGGGTGGGGGAAGTGGTTGCTATCTTATTTTTTTTATAATAATAAAGAAATGATTTTATTACAAGCACCCAGTAAAAAGGTAGTTGGGAATGGAATGGAAAAATACAGCAGAATTTTAAAATCACTACAAGAAATGAGAGGATTAAAAAGTTAACTAAACTAGAAAAATATAAATAAGGAAAGGAGACACAGTAAATAAAATAATTATTAAAATAAATTTGAAAGAAAATAATCAAGGATATTAATTGTTAAATGACATGAATAAACTGAATTCTCTTATTTAAAAACAAAGATTGTCAGATCACGTGAAATTTAGAGGAACTGTCCCTGCCCCGCCGCCCCATTATTATGGAAGTTTGAGTTAAGGGGGGGTATTTACTTTTTTTATTTACCTACTGCCAGACACGTGGTTTTTATTACTTTACAACAAATCAAACAATTTAGTAAGTAACAACTCTTCAAACTTGTTATGTTCAAAAAGTATATACTTATTCTGACAGCATTGCCATTTCTTGAAATATTTTTGAAGGCTTTTTTTCAAAAAGATTCTAAGGTGTGGTTCTCACTGGTGGTATACTTGTCTTTAGGGGTAAAGCAGATCCTTGTCCTAGCTTTTGATTCAATAAAAATATATATATTCAATAAAATATATATATATATGTTTCTCTATATTACTCTAGATATACACACACATATATATACACACACATAAATATATATAAAACCTTAAAGTAATGATTTTCTTTTCTGATTATAGGACAATCATGAGACAGTTTGAAAAAAGAGCTCTGAAAATTTTGCTTGTGCAGCATCATTAGAAGCAGTAAACTTTTCAAGATAGCTGTTTTTTAAAAGCATTACTCATAAGGTTAAGTTCTGATAGGATATGAACTCTTGCTGCACTGTCTAGATAGTAAATGGAGTAGTTTTATTTTTCTTTATGAAATTATTTTATATTCTTCCTACATTCTGAATCTGTGAAATAAAAATTATTTATATGTACATTTAGAAAAAATGAATTCTTCCGAGTAGAAGTGTTTTAATCTAACTTAAATTTTTTTTTCTTCTTAGTGTGGACGTAGTCAACTGATTCTTCAAAAAACCCAAACATTACTAGAGAGAGCTTTTAGTTTAACTCCTCAGCAATCAGAATTTGCTACAGAACTTGGATACCAAATGATTTTACAGGGGAAAGTTAAAGAGGCATTGAAGTGGTATAAGACTGCCATGACACTAGATGAAACCAGTGTCTCTGCACTAATTGGTATGACAACCATATCTATGAGTGATTCTCATACAGATGCAAGTAATGATTGCTTTTCATACCTGCCATTAAAGAAGAAAAGACATATTTTATGGTTTTCTAAAATTAAACTGTTCTCCACTGTCTACAACAGAAAAAAATATCATGTACCTTTAAGAATAAAATTTTTACTTCTTAAATATTATCTTAAGAGAATAGATTTTTATGAGATAATTCACATAAATTATGAATACCGTAGTAACTGATTTTCTGTGGGTACAAAGCTACCCATTTTCTTTTCTTTCACTCTTTTTCTTCTTTCTGTCTTTGTTTTTAAATCTAAAACTTAGATGTATTATGGCAAAAAAAATCTTGTTTAATTAATGTTGTTTGTGTTAGCTTGAAGTGTACGTGCGTGAAATGATGTGGATTTTTACCATTTCTGTCTTTTTGTTTTTAGGATTTATCCAATGTCAATTAATAGAAGGGCAACTACAGGAGGCAGATCAGCAGTTAGAATTCCTTAGTGAAATTCAGCAGTCTATTGGAAAATCGGCGGTATAGTATTTTATTTTATTTTATCAGATGGTAGATCCTAGCTACTATTTATAAAATATGAAATTTTTAATGTCTTAATATTTAGTGATGGTTTTAGAGGACTATTGTACACTAATTTTAATATGTAATTACATTTATTAATTTACCTCCGTGCATAATTAGACTTAAGATTCTAAAAATCCATCCAAGCTAATATTTAAGTTTGAACAAATGCTGTACATAAACAGCACTTCATATACTTTTGAAATCTAAGTAGAAATAAATGGCTTTATAACTGCATGGAGTAATTTATGAAAACTACCTATTTTCCAGGAATTAACCTATTTACATGCAGTTCTCGCTATGAAGAAAAATAAACGACAAGAAGAAGTTATTAATTTGTTAAATGATGTCCTAGACACTCATCTTTCACACTTAGAAGATTTACCTCTTGGCATACAGTATTTTGAGAAGTTAAATCCTGATTTCTTGCTAGAAATTATTACAGAATATCTGAATTTCTGTCCATTGCAGGTAAGTAATTCTGGGACTTATTTTCAAGGATGCATTTACATGGTGTTTTATAAAAGATGCTAATAAACGATGTTCTACATGTTAGACTATAATCGGCATCTTAAAATGGAAGCATTTGTATCTATATTAGGTGAAATAATTTTTAATGAAACTATTTACAGTAATGACTACTATCAACTAATAAATGTGTTGGTTTACAAACATTCATTTGTAATTCATAAAATCTTAAAATCTTAAATTTAAACAAAGTATTAGAAGTCATTTAATTCAGACACCCACCTTGTATTTGAATCTACTCCACAACATCCTCATTAAGTGCCCACCCCATCTCTGGATGCACTCAGAGATGCAGTTCGTATTGTATAACTGTGATTATTAGACTGTATTTCCTATGTTAAGTCAGACTTCACTTTATATTACAAAATTCACCCGTTTATCGGTCCTTCTTCTGCTCTGGAGTGACATGGAGCAAGTCTAGCTACTTAGTCTAGGCAAGGACCATTCCTCATTCATAAAACACACCTTCAGATTTTGGAAATTAGTTTTCATGTTCCTCTAAACAATTCCAGGTTTCCAGCCATTTCTTTTTTCATGACATAGTTTGAGCACGCTGGTTGTAAGCCTGAGGATGTTTTTCATTTGATCAGTGCCTCATTAAGCTCACTCTTCCAAATACGGATTTGGACTGCAAGACTTAGAAGAGATTCTCTGCTCCCTAATTCTGGATGTCCATCTAGCTTCCTTTTTGTGAATCACGTTACATTATCGACCCCTATTGAATTAACTGTTAACTGAAGTCCTTAGATTGGTTATTCGCTATAACTGTGGACCCAAGTGTAGGACTCTACATTTATCCCTGTGAAATTTTCTCTCTCCAGATTTATCCCATAATTCCAGATTACCTTGTCCTTTTGGATCCTGATTGTCATCTGCCTGTCTAGCTCTGAGTAGAACAAAGAATGGAGCCCTCTGTTTTGTTGCCAGGGAGTTCATTCCCAGTTAGTGTGGATCCATTAGTCAACACTCTTACTACAGACAGTAAGCAGATGACTTGACTTTATTATACTCAACTCACAACTCAACACAGGGATATCGTGACGGGCACTAGCAAATACTTAATTCCTAAAAGCATAGTTTTTAGCATTCTCTCTGATTTACAGCTTCAGTAACTGTAAATGAACTTCAGTAACTGTTCATGACCTTCCCTTAGGGAACTCATGCTGCCTTTCATTGACCATCATGTCCTTTTCCAGACTTTGATGACCTATTTTTTTTCAACTAATCCGTCTGGAATCACACCTGGGATTGATCTCAGTCTCAGTCGTGATCTGTTTTCAGTTGCCAAGGAGTTCGAAAGCATTTTTCAGTACTCATGCAGTATTTAGATTTCATTCAACAAATGCTTGCACCAGTGTGTTGCTCAGAGCTGGGGAAATAGTTTGTAAAAACAAACTACAACCCTTGCCTTCTTGAAACATGAGTACTAGCAGGAGGATACATAATATAATTAAGTCAATCATGTAGTATGTTTGAATATCACAGAAGAAAATAACAGAACAGGGCAGAATGGGTAGTAATTTTAGATAAGGTGGTCTGGGTAGGCCTCATTAAGATGGGAAAATTTGAACAAAAACTTGAAGGTTGTGGGAATATGGTATAGAGTGTTTCAGGCAAAGGGAGCCGTTGTGCAGGTGGCCCAAAGGGACACAGAGATGAGTGTGCCCAGGACAGTGTGAGGAGTTGGGGAGTAGTCACCGTGAGGTCTCAGCACAGAGACCAGTGTGGTAACTTCTCTGGCTTCAGTTCTGAGTACAGTGGGGAGCCACCAGAAGGCTTCCAGCATGATCCAGTTCAGCATTTTAAAAGGAGTCTTCTGGCAGCTCTGCCGAGAGTAAACTGTACAAGGAGCAAGAAATAACGTGTTAAATGGTAGTTGGGTCCCTAGTCCACAGACATCCTATTTTTCCATAATATAACCTTCATCAGCATGATAAGAATCTAATTAGCATTTAAAATGCTGTTTTCCTGGGGAAATATCAGAAAGGCAGACTTGTCTCTCCAGCTCCGTTTCTACTTTGGCCCTTTTATATATATACTTTCTAAAATCAAACATATTATCTTAGAGATTATCCATATAAGTCCTGTTTTTTTTCTGTGATTCACTGTGAAATTACAGTAAAAAACAATGAGTAATTCTTAGCAATTGGCAGAGAACATTATCAGAACTTCACCCTTTTACCTATGCTTTCATTATTTTCAGTTACACTGAAGAAATAAATGTTTTAAGAATATACTCTGTACCCATTACTGTGTGAGTCTGTCATACAGAGTGAAGTAAGTCAGAAAGAGAAAAACAAATACCGTATGCTAACACATATATATGGAATCTAAGAAAAAAAAAAGGTCATGAAGAACCTAGGGGTAAAACAGGATTAAAGACACAGACCTACTAGAGAATGGACTTGAGGATATGGGGAGGGGGAAGGGTAAGCTGTGACAAAGTGAGAGAGTGACATTGACATATATACACTACCAAACGTAAAATAGATAGCTAGTGGGAAGCAGCCGCATAGCACAGGGAGATCAGCTCGGTGCTTTGTGACCACCTAGAGGGGTGGGATAGGGAGGGTGGGAGGGAGACGCAAGAGGGAAGAGATGTATAACTGATTCACTTTGTTATAAAGCAGAAACTAATACAACATTGTAAAGCAATTATACTCCAATAAAGATGTTAAAAAATAAGTAAATAAAATGGATCAAATGTCAAAAAAAAAAGTCTGATCTTTGAGACACATAAGACCCTTAGCCCTATAAGAGAGGCAAAACTAAATATGAAACTACTATAAAACTGTATAAGACAAAGAATGCTGAATTATTATATAGATTATAAGCACTATAGAAATTTCAAGAAGTTGAAGTATTCTAGGCATCAGTAGTTTTATACTCTGAAAATCCTTTTGAGCACACATTTTTTTGATGCCTCAACATAGTGAGAACATACCACACTTTCTTGTTAGTAAAGTGGCTCTTCATAGGAGTGACTGTCAGTAAGAGGCGGTGCTCCAGTTAAGAATCTGTGTATGTGGAGTGTAAGATTGGGGGGATGGGAGGATCACCCTTCAGATAAAGGAAGGAGTATTAGTAAGGCAAAGCAGGGAGAATGAACATTTGATATTTAAACTCTAATATCACATTTCTAAATTGTGAGTGAATAACCACTGGATAAAGGTGGGTTGAATAGACAGCCATTAAAAGAATAAAAAAGTGGTCTAGTACTGCTTTAGTTATCGTATTCACTATTAATAAAAAGAGAAAAAAAATTTGAAGGCCTACAACATGCCAGGCGGAAAAGTGGGGAATATGAAGGTATGAGACATTTGGTGTAGTATACGTGAGTGTTCAACCTTCGGACTTTTGCTAGAATGATGAAATCTGAATTCTCTAGAAACTGACCTTACAGTATTTTAGGGGGTGGTGCAAGTTACTCAACTGAGTAAATCACAAGGCAGGTTTAGAGTTAGAACTCGCATTGCCTTGACTCTCAATTCCAGCAAGAAACTCTACCTCTCGTTATCGTTCCTTTGAACAGATATGTTTTCTTGACAGAGTTTAAACAGATATGCTCATTTCATATGTTATCAAATTAGTAACTGTATAATAATTTCACAGTTATTTTGCTGAGCAAAAGCCATCATTTATATAGTCTGTTCATAGATCCCAGGGAGATAAATTAGTATTAGTCCAGTCATAGTAAAAATATTGGGCAATAAATAGAATAAGACAAATTTTAGAAAAATATGTGATTTTTGCTCTTCACATTACAATTAATATGTGTTTATTTTTAGCTAAATACTATTATAAACCTATAAAAAATGATCTGATTTGTTTAGCCTGCAAGTCCTGGGCAACCTCTTTCTCCACTTCTCAGACGTTGTACCTCAATCCTGGAGACTATAGTAAGAACTGTTCCCGGTCTTCTGCAAGCTGTCTTCCTAATAGCAAAAGTGAAATATTTGTCAGGTAAGATATACATTAAAATCTTAAAATAACCTTTATATTCTGATGTTGATAAGAACTAGTATAAACAAACAAAGAACTCCTTGTATGAATAGTCACATAAAATAGTCACATAGAATAGTCTTCATAGAATAGTCACGTAAAATGTACCTTTTACGTGTGCACAGATAAGTAATTTTTATCCAAAATAAAACTGCATAACTTTCTTTACTATTTAATTCTTTAAAAAATTACTATAAACTTCTGTGGTTCAAGTGAATGTCTGGGAAAATACAGTTCTACCACTTAAAAAATGTCCGTCAGGTGGTACTAGGTCCTGGCAGTATAATTTATAGTCTTTAATCTCTCCTTTGAACAGATTATAATGGTTGACTCATTGGCATGATCAAATGTGATGTTCACCGGGTTTCAGGCCCGTAAGAAATTCATTGATTAATTTCTATTTAGTTTCTGTGATTGGTTATACATAGCTTTAAAAAAATATCCTCAGTTACAACCTTAGATTTTTAGGACACAAACATATGTATGACAATATATATAAAAGTAGACCATCATATGGTACTTAGGTATGTATCTTTGCTGGCTGAATGCTATGCAAAGTAAGTTAAGTTTGTAAAGTCCTATAGGACAGAAACCAACTTCAAGGTGTTCATTATCGTTAACAGTTACTTCTTGTACATAATGGAACGAGTTAAGAGTTTGACCTTACTAATTTTTTGGCTTTGTTTTAACTGTTTTTGGGGTTTTTTAAAAATAAATTTATTTATTTATTTATTTTTGGCTGCATTGGGTCTTCGCTGCTGTGCGCGGGTTTTCTCTAGTTGCAGCGAGCGGGGCCTACTCTTCGTTGTGGTGCGCGGGCTTCTCATTGTGGTGGCTTCTCTTGTTGCGGAGCACGGGCTTTAGGCCTGCGGGCTTCAGTAGTTGTGGCGCACGGGCTTGGTTGCTCCACGGCATGTGGGATCTTCCCGCACCAGGACTCGAACCCGTGACCCCTGCATTGGCAGGCAGATTCTTAACCGCTGTGCCGCAAGGCAAGTCCCTTTAACTGTTTTAAAAAGAGAACCAAATGATCACAAAAGCTTGTTTCACTTCTAAAATACTCTAGTTGTAAGAAGTGACTCTCTATTACCTTCTCTGATTGAGTTCTGTTGAGCCACATCGTATTTCTACTTTCTTCCCAGTTAGAACCGGTATCACCTACTAGGTGATCAAACTGGGACTTTGAGTTCTGTGATTAATTTGTAAACACTCATTATTTATTTTGAATTTTGATACAAATCCGTTTCAATAGAGTAATAGTTAATTGCCAAAGTCTTAGGAAGGAAACTCTTGTATATTAACCCCATTTTTAAAAAGAGCAGCCTGAAATAATGTGAAACAGTGGTGGCACGTGTCTGAATAGCAGTATTCTTGCTAAATTGCCAACTGCAGTGACTTCCGGCACCAACTACCTGGAGTTGGGCTAAACTTCACAGGTTAAGGGCACAATTCTCCATCATACTGCCCTCATTTTAGATAGCCACAAGTTCAGGGGTTCCCAGGGCCTCCTGCACTTCTGACCAGCTTGCTACTAATTTAAGGGTTCTTATGATTCCCTTCAGGTTCGATAATTCACTAGAAAGACTCATAGAACTCAGGAAAGCACTATATCTAGGATTAGAGTGTTATGATAGCAAACTGAAATTTGAAAGTCATCCAAACCAGCAAAAGGAAGAGATGCAGAGGATGAGGTCTGGGAGGGTCCCAGATGTGGAGCTTCCGTTGTCCTCTCCCTGTGGAGTCAGGACACATCAACTTCCCGACAAATCAATGACGACACCTGTGGAACATTAGCAACCAAGAGAACTCACCCAAGGTTCGGTATCCAGAGTTTTATTAGGGTTTTATTACATAGACATCGACTGAATCTTTGGCCATGTGATTGAAGTCAGTCTCCAGCTCCCCTCTCCCTAGGTTAGGCTGATTATAGGTGGCTCAAAGCCCTACCCTTCTAGTCACAGGGTTGGTCTTTCTGGCATGGCCAGCCACCATCGTGAGTCACATCATTAGCATAAGCTCTCAGGGCCCACCATGAATAACAAAGATTCTCCTATTGCTTGGGAAATTCCAAGATTTAGAGACTGTGTCCTGGGAACTGTCTCCCTGTCTCCCTATCTCCCTGGGATAAAGACCAGCCAAATTCTTTATTACATAGGACCTGACAAAGGCAGAACTGCAGGACAGAAATTTCTTCCATTTTTCTCTCAAGAGAAATTGGGCCGCTCTTAGATAAGAATGTGATATTGATGTGATCTTTGTTTTTATGGCCCGTTTTTTCCCAACAGTGATGACCCGTTTCTCCATTGAAATACTTAGTGGCCTCCTGAAGCTAACCGGACATATTCTTCCTCCTTACCTTTAGAAGAAACAAAAAAGATTATGATTTCAGTTATTCATACAGTCCTCATTGTTTTTTCCAGTCTCTTATTTGCAAACCCTAATTCTTTTCTGTGTACTCTCTCCACTTAGTAATAACCTCTTTTTTCAAGTTATCTCCTTAATCCTCCTCCTTCCTAAAAGAATATGGGGGTGGCAATTTGCATGCAAATTTATTATGCTTAATCTTCCCTTCTTCTTTTGTCTGCACAGTTCTGAGTGTTGGATTGTATCACAGTGAAAAAGAATCTAATGTTTATTATGCTTGATGGTTAACTGACACATTTAGACACTGTATTTAATAAGTTATTGTGCTACCCCAGCTAAATTATTGTTCATTAATCCTCTGTCTCTAAGAAAGCGTTTTCTGTTTAAATGGATTTCTGTTAGAAGAAAGTTGAGCGTTTGGGAACTGAAGGCCTGACTGTTAGCCTTACTTTGTCTGTTAAGGTGTTAGGTAAGGTTACAGAGAGTAATTGAACGGATACCTTAGCAGAGTTACATGGGGAGCTGGCCTAGCTACACCTACTTAAGGCCAGTTTATGAGACGGCTAAATGCAAATCAGTGTGGGTGACATCACGAAACTTCTAGCACCTAGAGTCTGTGCTGTTGTTTCTCTGAAGAGCCTCTTCTACCTTATCTGTCAGCCCAAGGTAGATTCCAATATTCTGTTCACTTTCATCTTGATCATATCCTTCTATTTTAAGATTCCCAGATGTACTTACTAACCTATAATGGAATATAATCTGCCAAAATGCTGAATCATCCTGCTGTATACCTGAAACTAACACAGTATTGCAAACCAACTACAATAAAAGAAAAAGTCTTCCAGATGTACAATACCTGTGGTTCCAAAACATTTGATATTTCAGTTAGTATTTAAAGGCATTTTAAATCTGTAACTCACATTTCTAACCCCCTGGAATATAACCTTATGCCTTTTTTGGTTATTTTTTGTACAGTAGTAAAATTTCTAGCCTAGATGTGGCACTATAACATTCTGTTTAAATTTCTATGTCTTACATAACTTATTTTAATGAAATTGTAAATTAAAAATATTCTTTTGACAAGGAGAATACAGGTACATTTAAAGGGCTTCAGATTTTTTCACATACTTTTCCTTATTTGCTCCTTATGACCAAGGGATGGCCTGGCTTTAGATATATTCTTTCATGCATATTAAAAAGAAACTGACTAGTGCAGGTAGAGGTTAAGCTAAGGCCTTACGAACAGAGAACTTTTAAGTTCAAACACCAGAACTATCCATAGACTAAATACTTTTCTCCCTGTTCTCTCAGGTTTCCTCTTGATCATTTTGTATTATAATAGTGCTTTGTTTCCTCATTAGGTGATATTGAAGCAGCTTATAATAATCTGCAGCATTGCCTAGAACACAGTCCTTCCTATGCAGATGCTCATCTCCTGATGGCTCAGGTTTATTTGTCTCAGGAAAAATTCAAATTGTGTTCTCAGTCTCTTGAACTTTGTCTGAGCTATAATTTTAAGGTAAGTGTTCCAGACTCAAGTGGATAAGACATATCACCCTCCTTGAACCTTTAGCAAATGTTTACATATTCAACTATTTTGTTTCTTAGCCTGTAATATTTTGCTAATAAATGCATTATTAATGGAAATTTTTTTTTTTTTTTTTTTTTTTGCGGTACGCGGGCCTCTCACTGTTGTGGCCGCTCCCGTTGCGGAGCACAGGCTCCGGACGCACAGGCTCAGCGGCCATGGTTCACGGGCCCAGCTGCTCCGCGGCATGTGGGATCCTCCTGGACCGGGGCACGAACCCGTGTCCCCTGCATCGGCAGGCAGACTCTCAACCACTACGCCACCAGGGAAGCCGATAATGGAAAATATTTTGAACTCATTAGCAGTAGGAGAAAAAAATGGAGGCAACTGTGGTGTGGTTAAACAACTATATGGACTTGGCAACAAAAGACCTGGAGATAGTGTCTGGTCTTTTCACCTGTCTCTCTCTGAACCTCAGTTTTCTTTTCTAGAACACTTATATAATAATACCCTACAATTATAGTGAACATTAAATGCAATATGAATATGTAGAGATAATTGTACACTGTAGAGCATTGTGCCAAATATTTTTATGTATAAGGATTTTATTTTATTGCCTGTTTCTTTCTTGGACCTTGGTGTTTAATAACTTCTTTTTAGATACATCATCAGAGAACAGCTAGTCATTTTAAAAGTTGGTATGTGGTTTGAGGATATAAACACACTAGATTTCTATCCAAGGTATTCTGTGTGAACATCTCATATCCCTGAGCATTACGGAAAGTCCTAGGTTCAGGGGCTTCCTGAGCAACCTGGAATCAAGGAGGAGCTCCTCAGACTTTTGCTTTGGTTGGCAGTGTCTTGAGCCCTTCGATGTGAGAACACTTTAGTACACTGGAGAATTCAAGTTCCAGGCAAGGTTTGCAGAAGATAATGCCTGCTTCTTAGGACAGTAGTTCTCAAGACTGGTGGTGCATTGTGACCCCAGTGCCAGTGCCCTACCCAGTGAATCAGAATCTCTGAGAGAAGAGCGTAATCATGATTGCTTACACAAGGCCCACAGGTAAACACAATGCCCAGCTACGGCTCAGAACCCAGCATTAGGAGGACTGGAGGTTAGATGGCAGCCACATCATCTCATTCTGGACCATCTTCTTCCCTTTGACTCCTTCCTCATCTTTTGTCATTCTCTTTATTTTTTCTGTATATGCTGTTGATACCCAAAATAAAGACAGGAGATTCATTACTACGTGTTTCAGAGTAGTATCAAAGGGTAAAACCAATGTTTGATTAACGTGTCCTGAAATTTTTAATCTTAAATTATTTATTTATTTGTTTGTTTATTTGTTTATTTAATTTATTTACTTCTGGCTGCAATGGGTCTTTGTTGCGCGCGGGCTTTCTCTAGTTGCAGCAAGGGGGCTACTCTTCGTTGCGGTGCGGTGGCTTCTCTTGTTGCAGAGCACGGCCTTCAGTAGTTGTGGCTCGCGGGCTCTAGACCGCAGGCTCAGTAGTTGTGGCACACGGGCTTAGTTGCTCTGCGGCATGTGGGGTCTTCCCGGACCAGGGCTCAAACTCGTGTCCCCTGCATCGACAGGTGGATTCTTAACCACTGTGCCACCAGGGAAGCCCTGAAATTTTTAATCTTAAAATTAGAAAATAAAAGAAACTGTGTAGAAATCTGATAACTTTATCTCAGTACGAGAAGTCTGAGGTAAAGGAATTCATTTCCTGAAAACTAAAATAATTTCTTAGAATATATTTGCTAGCCTTATAAACTTTGTGTGCAATTTCTTTCCTCTCATAGTAGAAGTACTTAACTTGTTTGTTAACCAACGGAAC